GTTTAAAACGAATATTCTTAACTTGGAAAATAGTTCTAGGATTAATAATCTAACTACTGTTTAAAAAAGGTATTCTTAATTTATTATTAACAACTTGTAATAGTTACGGTTTTTATAAATTTTAAAAATAGTTCTACGCTATATAAATATATTACTGTTACAAGGAAGTCTTCTATTCTTGTAATAAACAACTATGCAAAACAAAACCATATGAAACATACAACTAACAATAAAATACTATTTTATTATAAGTTTAAAAACAGTTATAAATTGAAAAACTAGACTACTGCGTAGAAATAGTAGTCTTAACTAATTATTGACAACTGTGGCAACAAAAACTGTATTTTTAGGTGAAACAGACTACTAATAAAAGATTACCGTTTCTCAGAACTATAAAAACAGTTCTACCCTTAATTTATAGACTACTGTTACAAAAGAGTCTTTTATTCCCTTTAGAAACAACGATGGCAAAAAAATCATATGAAATAGACAACTAGCAATAGATAACTGTTTCTAATAAGTTTAAAAACAGTTTTAGACTAAAACACCAGAGTACTGTTTAGATAGAGTATTCTTAACTTGTTATTGACAACTGTTGTAACAAAAACTGTATTTTGAACTGACACAGACAACTAGTAATAGATTACCGTTTCTCGAAACTTTAAAAATAGTTTTAAAGCATAGTAGCTAGACTACTGTTCTGTAGCCAAGAAAAACTCACAGTAGTCTATTTTTTTAACTACTGTGTTTCCATAAACAGTAGTTATTCAACAGTCGTCTGATACTGTTTTTGGCGTAGTGCATGCATATGTTATGATCCCCTTCCTCTCATCTTGCATTAGCTTTATGATTCTACATGTTCCATGTTGTTAATTATCTCAGCTTGTATGTGCATAAGTTCATCATTTTTATATCATTGACATGCATTGAGGACACTGCATGATTTAAGTGTGGGGGGACGCTTCTGCATTTAGTTATGCATGTTTAAAAAAAATTGTTTGCATGTTTCTATACACATACTAGGAGAATGAATTGGGTAGAAAAAAGGTATTTCATGTCAAGTTTAGCATTTAGATGCAATTGGTTATAAAAAAAATTAATTTTTTAAAGTTTTTAAAGAAAACAATAATCTTTCACAAAAAAATCTATATAAGAAAAATTATAGTTTCTTTTAATCTTCTAGCACTCTTAAGTGTTTGCATTTTTTGCATTTAATTGAAATTAATTTTGTAACAAGTATGTTTGAATTTCTTTAAAAATGAGTTTGCTACTATAAAATTTAAATCATTTCTTTTACATCAAATCTATTTGGAACTTGTTTTTATTTAATTTCATACCCTTTAATTAGTTAAGTTCAATGTGCACAATTTATTTATAAATACATGGAGCATTTTTCAAACTAACTCTTTTTGTCCTAAGTTGCTATTCAAGTAAAGTGAATCTTTTGAAAATCTCTTTTCTTTTCTAAATTTTGGTTATTTACATATTATCAAGATGCTAAAATAAATATAACATATATACTGGAACACCATCTTAGGTTGGCATGGGTGGCACGACACCTTTGTCCCCTTAAGCAACAGATCCCAAAAGGAAGTGATGTTGTGTATGGAGAGAACTTAAGTTGGAAGAGCAAACCCCTTTTGGGCCGTACGAATCTCGTCCATAACCAGTAAAAAAAATAAGAAAAAGCCGACGCCATTGAGCCAAAAGAAAAAAAAGTGCAATAAATGGCTAGGTACAAAAAAATGAAAATAAATATTGTTTGAGCACTTGAGTTGAAACCCTCAGAATACTTCGTTTATTTAGGTCCCGGGCTATCTGGAATGGGCCTGGGGTAGCCTGGTTGAGACTCGCTACACGGGTCAACTCAAACAATTAAAATTAAATACTGAATGAAAATAATAAATAAAAGTCTCCAAATTTTGGAAAAGAAAATAAATTTTCTTGAGCATTTCTTTACTTGATTGTTTCTTAGGATTTCTAACCACTTTTTGCTGCTCTGTAGATTTCTTTTAAATTGTTCTCAATGGCCTTAATTAATTTAAGAGTTTGACATTCAATAAAAGTAATTTCTACTTAGCTTTGAAGTAAAAGAATTGTTTTAAAATTTAAAGTAGCAAATTGATTTTTAAAAGGTTTATTCTATTTGGTACATGATTAATTTCTAGTTATTGTTTTATGCATCACTTTAGATTGTTATGAGATTGAGAAATTATTTTGAGCTCTAATGTCAACCAAAGAGAATAAAACTAATTCTCAAATTTTTAGTTTGCACGAGGACGTGCAAAAGGCTAAGTGTGGGGGTATTTGATAGGTCCTCAAATGTTATATTTTATTCCCTCATATTAGTCCTTTTTAGTATATTCCAAATGCATTTTATACACATTTAATCACTATTCTGTTTATATAACGGTTTAGGCCATTATTTATATTTTATACATAAAATGCATTGTTTTTGGCATTCTTTTTACTCTTTTAAATTTATTATCTTATTTTCCTTGACACAAGTCTTCTAGATATTTTATATTGTCTAAGGATTGTGGAAGATGCCAAGCTTATATTGCCCGAGGATATAAGCAAGAGGACAATTGGGCCAAATGGTTTGTAAATTGACCCAACCAATTTAAAGAAGTGTTGATCCAAATCACCAAATCCTTTATATATATAAATCCTTTATATATATAAATGAGACTCCAAGCTGCAGGAACGCGACATTTGGCAGAATTATAGCATGACACGTGGCGAAGCTGACACATTCTTAGGAAACTAATGATGAGGTGGAACCTGAGTTGTCATTCACGCTTAATAAACCGGAAGAAAAAAAGGGAGTGTATTCGCAGACCTACGCTCCTCTTTATCGCAATCTTCGCTGATCCCCTTTTCTTCTTCAATCGCTCTTTCCTTCACCATCTCTTTCATTTTCTTTGGAATTTCGCACAAATTAGGAGAGAAATTAATCACCTTTCCTTCCCAGGATCGGAATTGCATTCATGGACACTCGGATCGACGATTAACAAAGACATAAATTTGGCGTAGGCATTTACTCTCAATTTGAAGACAAAATCCGGCGTATGACTGATTCCTTCCCAAAATTAGGTATGAATTTCCTTCATTTCATTAATCCACAAATTTTATTACTATTTTTTTATTGGCTTGATTTTCCCCGGCCCAAATTGTTAGGGTTTCTTTCTTGACATATATATTGCGTTGCTTTTAGTATCATAAAAGTAATTTGTTGATGAAAGTTGTAGAGGCGATTGAGCCCAATGTCGATCTTGCTGATTGTGTTGAACTTCAACAATAGGTACTCTAATTCTACTATTTTTTTTAGACACCCTATTTGAGTTATTTTGCTCTGCTTTGCTTTTAATTTGTAGTTTGCTTTCTTTTTAATGTGTTTTCTATGTATTGGTTTGTCTTTGGATGAATTGTTAGTTTTTGGAACCACAGTTTATTAGCAACTTGCAACTTGACTAAATCATCTCATTAATTTTTTGCATGCATTTTTCATGTTATTTAATTTTAGATGATTTGAATAAATCATTCTGAGGTAACTGATAATGTAAGGTGGTTAAAAATTTCTATAAAACATTTTATTCTTATTATAATGTTCTATTTCAAAACAAAGTGAACACGTTTGTTATTTTAGTTCTATACATGCGCTTTATTAATTTTATACATAGTTCCCTTCAACGCTGAGAGATTTGATTTGGTAAAGAAGAAAGCGTCTTCCATTTCATGACCAGGTACCCTTTTTTTCTTACAATTCTTTTTCAAGTGTATTAGTTATGCTCCGCAAGGTTTCTGTTTTTTGGTCAAGAGAACAAAGGTCATGTGGAGTATAGATTATCCACACCTAACACAAAGAGCATCAACAACTGGGTGAGGTTTAGGAATCTTCAATATCATCTCTACAAAAAGATACAAGTCATGAGACTTTGTTATTGTGATATGGGAAATCTATTCTAAGGAGACAAGAACAACTCTTTACTTATACTAGTATTCCTACCCGTGCCACGCACGGGTTCGGACGAATATCTTGTCGATTCTGAATTTATTCAATGTAATATTTTTTTTCCGGAATAAAGGAAATATACCTCATGCATGATTTATAATAACACAGAAAAGAAAGGCAAAGTAAAAAGAATAATATATGAGGAATTGAATCTACACACAACAAAGTTTGCTCTAATACCAAATTTTTTGAAAGACTTCAGGGTATACAACATTTTTGGTATGGCTGCAAGGATTTTCATTGTCATCTAAGACTAATATTTTTAATCCTGTCTTTGTCTTCACTCGTGAAACAGCAAGATAGAGCTGACCATGAGTGAACACTGACTTGGTTAAAAATAATCTAACAAATGACAATGTTTGACCTTGACTTTTGTTAATAGTCATAGCAAAACATAAGACTATTGGAAATTGTCTTCTCTAGAACTTTAGAGGTAGTCCTGGATCAGACGGTACCAAATTCATCCGGGGTATGTAAACTTTTTTGCCCACTCAATTTCTCGAAACCACAATAGCACCAATAACATTCTTTCGCATCTCGTCAATAATTAATCTTGTACCATTACACAATCCAGATTTCATTCAAAAACTCAACTGTTATCCAGTCGTCATCAACACCTACATCTGAATCTGCTTGGCATGATGAATCAGAACTCAAGTACACCATTTCATCTCCGGGAATGAGAGATAAGACAAATTCATTTACCATTTCTACAACTTCGAGCGTGGGTGCTAGTAGTGCCCTGTCTTGAAAAAAAGAATAACTTCTCATTTTCTCCAATAAGTTCGGATAAGTAAAATCCGCTATAGTTTTGAGGGGTGAACTGTTATCTATAATCAAAAATTCGAGAGGAATTTCAACGTCAACAGTTCCATCAAACATTGACTCCTTTTTCTTGTATTATTAAAATTATGAAAACATAAATTAACAATCATATGATAAGATATATAAATTTTACAATACATTAAAAATATAATGATTAATCTCCCTCGTATTATTTCAAAAATTATGCGAACGCAAAAAAAATAGTGATTATATGATTTTAAAGAAAATTTTACAAAAACTATTCCATAATTTTTACTCATTTTTTTGCTTTCTTTTTTAAAAATAAAATCATTTAAGTGTGTGAAAGTATTTTGGTCAATACATAATTTTTTATAAAATACAAAGAGTTACAATTTAAAAATTATATTTCTCTTTGATGTTGTAGCTGAGCCTAAATCTTATTCACTTCTGCACATTAGATCTTCTTCGTAGTTCTCCTTAAAGTATTGATTATCCTTGCATCTAAATTTTAATTTTCACAAATCTTCACGCGTTTCTCGGCCTCCAGATCTTAGAAGTTTTGTAATAATTGAATAGAAAAATATGCATAATTAGAAAATAATTTATTATAAAAATGAATATATCCATTCTCTTCCATAATTAATTGTACCAAATGACTTCATACCATAGTATTAACTTATTATTTTCTATAATATATTTTACGTGTCAGAAATGTCTCGTAAACAACATCACATCTCAGCTTCTTAGAAATTAAAATATCAATTTTATAAATAAAGGATCAATTATAAA